ACTAGCGATACCCTCCAACCTAAGAGATGGCCTCCAAGCTAATGGAGAGATGGCCTCCAACTTACTATCGATGCCCTCCGACCTAAGCGACACATGGCCTCCAACCTACTAGCGATGGCCTCCAACCTAGAAGCGATGTGAGCCATCACCCCACCGAACCCATGCAAATTCCTGTCAAACAATGGTTGCAACACGACGAATTCCGGATTTGGTCGCAGATAGAGCATGAAAGGAGAGCAAAGGGATCCTCTCCAAGGAAGAACAGTGTCTGAGCCTTGACTATATGAGACACAACATCCGAACTGTGGCTATGTGCCACACTGAAGCTAAAACAAGTGATTTGAGCAAAAGTGATTTGAGCAAAAGGCCCACACCTGTCCAACGTGCCGAGATGTAGTCAGAGGCGTAGAGGGCCACAGCCCCAAGGCCCCAGTCGAAATCTTGGCGGCAAGAAATGGTAAAAATGAACGAAGTCTCGTGCAACCCAAACAAATGTTTCTTACTACTAGCAAGAAGCTACCACGTTGGAGGCCATCGCTACTAGGTTGGAGGCTATTAGTTAAGTTTCCCTTAAAATCTAGAAACAAAATCATTCGTCCGAGCGCTTCTATCCCGCGTCCATACTAGTAGCTACCACTAGCAGCTAGTAGCTACCTCTCCCCACTAGCTACCTGCCTCTAAAGCCCAAATGAGTCCTTTTCGATGTGGCACACACGCAGGATGCACCGCTGTGCTCTTGTGGCGAAGCTCGGAGCCCCGCAGGCTGCGTGAGACACGGCCACAGCGGGGCCGGACTTGAGTCGAAGGAGTCCAACTCGGTCTAAAAGACTGCGGAATGGAATAGTCTGAATAGTGCACTATAAACGCAACAGTTGTCAAGTCGCTCTTGTTGGACTTGTTTGAGCAACAAATCTCTTAACAAATCTCGGTTGCCAAACACTTTCAAATGCTCTCAAGGACCGACCAGGTTGGCAACTCCTAATCGGTCACCTGGTCAATCTGTGAGACGTGCCAAGTCAGTCTACGAATCTAGCGGTCTGGACAGTCCTCTATGACAGTCAAGCGGAGTTACAGCTCAGCTCAGCAAGCGAAGCCAACCAGTTCGAGAAAAAAACTAGCAATGAAGCGAAAGAGTGTTGGATTCGCAATGTCACAGTGAAATTGATCACAATAACTAGTCTTCTGGATGTTTTCTTCTACCCTGTCTCCCCTTTCCGTCCCAAACAGAGTGTCGTTGAGTCCTTTAAACGCCATCCACGAGGGCCACGAGGGGTTCTCTCGCCCCACTGTTCCAGCTCTGCTTGCATCTTCTCGCAGTGCGCGAGCAAACGTTCCTCGCTTCGCGAAGGCAAAGCAGTTTGGGATCGGACAAGGACAAGAAGAAAGTAGTAAGAACAATTTCACAAACAAGATGTAAGAAAAAAGGCTGGTCATTTCTTCAAATGAGAGTCAAAGTCCAATATGGGTGATGCATCTTCATCGTCTTCGGTGAAGGTGCAGCCCAAACTGCCTGAGATACGAACGAATGCATGCATTCAATATATTCAATATTCTATTGCGTCACGGTGGAGGCCATCGCTAGTAGGGTGAAGGCTATTAGAATTCAAGTGTCAAGTGCGTCACAACTACTAGGAACAAGAGGACGCTACTAGTAACATGTCTCTCAGGATGAAGAAACATCACAAGTTTCCAGCGAACAATTGCAACACTGAGATGAGCACCATGAAAATCAATCGTCTGACCCATTGGAGAGGCAGGGCTCGTCTTCACCTCAGTTCTTGGAGGACATGTACTGTTTTATCTTAAGACAGAAGTCAAAAGCGAACAAGGAAGGCAAATGTGTTTTGGAGACCATCACTACTAGTAGCGTCTTGCTCCTAGTAGCGATGCCCTTTGCTCCTAGTAGCGTTCTTGCTCCTAGTAGCGATGCCAGGAGCCCCCAGTAGCGTCCTTGCTCCTAGGGTGGAGGCCATCTGTAAAAGAAAAAAGATTAGGACGGCAGTTTTGCCGAGCTCGGGAGTCCAGTCATCGGGACCTGGTGGACCTGGATTCCCGAAAACCCCGGCCGGCCGGTCAGCCGATTTGGCCTGCCGGCCAACCAGCGCTAATTCTCTTAAAGTTAGGACTAAGTTCAAGTAAATCTGATGTGAATCGGAATTGCAGTCAATTGGATTTGTATGTCGAACTGTCGAACTATATATTTGGAACTGAGTTAGGCTTCAGCTCAATCGATCATGTTAAACAAAATCGAAATGGTGTCCAAACATCGCTTACTTTCCCGGTGATGACCCGGTCAGGTGTGCTGAGATCGGCACGGGAACCTGTCGACCCTTGGTCTCCATGATGTCAACAAGATCCTTCGCGCAAAGCACAACGGCGATGGCCTCCACCCTAAGAGCAACGGCCGCCTCCAACCTAGCATTAAAAACGGCGTGATGAAGTAGGCACCTATTTCATTGAATAAGGCGACTAGTTCGCTACTAGGCTAAGCTAGCTACTGGATGCAGGATAGCTCACGCTTTGGGTTCCTAGAAATGGAGAGAGAAGGAGAGAGACTCCTGGTGGACCTCTGCTAGTCGCTTCTCATTCTCTTGGATGGCCTGGAAGCTATGCAACTGTATGATGTATGCATATTTGCCAAACAAATGCTCATAAGCGGCACCCAAAAAAGAAAATGTGATCCCGGCATCGAAGAAGCTCTCAGAGCTTCCATTGAAAACGTTGGAGTCCGCGGTCTCGGCAAAGCCCCATCGCCTGCGAGCGGTCTGGGCCTTCTCTCTCTCTCTCTCGGCCAGCTTCTTGCTCCTGGTAGCGATGCCAGGAGCCCCTAGTAGCTTCTCAGTAGTGATGGTTCAGAAAGAAAGGATTAAAAGGAGGACTGGATCAAGGGAACATGTAGCGATGCCCTTTGCTCCTAGTAGCGTCCGATCGCTCCTAGTAGTACGGCCAGGTGCCCCTAGTAGCGTCCTTGCTCCAAGGGAACATATATCCTGTGTAACCATCAACAGCCACTACTCCTGACTCCTGACCAAATAGTACTAAGAAACTACTCCTGATATATATTATACTATATACTATATAGGTGTACGACTGCCACATTGGAAAAAACAAAAAAATGACGATGTCGTTTTCAAAACGTTCTCAACGTCAAACCGATGTCTTTTCCCTCCGCGAATCACGCGCCCGCTTTCGTTGGCCTTTCCGCTCGCTTCCGCTTCTGGTCCGCTTCCCTGGTATGAAGAAGCTCTGCAAAGGCTCTTAAGAACACATACATATGTAATCATATGTAAATATATACATCAAGCTTCAGCGATTGGTGAAAAAACATGTTAAAAAAACAAAACACGCTCTTGTCTTCTTCAGCCTTCAGTGTTGCCTTTTTCTGGTCTCCTTCGTCCGCTTCGTCTTTCCTGTGCCTTCGAGCATCTGCTTCTTCTTGAGCAACAAGATCCATGTACTTCTGAGCCTGGCAAAAAAAAGAAGACATGTTGTGGAGGCCATCGCTATTAGGTTCTTTAAAGTCCGTTTTTCTATAAAGCTATTAGGTTGGAGGCCAAGATCCATGTACTTCTGTGCCTGGCCAAAAAGAGTCACAGAGCTACTCCGCATGCGCTGCTCTCCGCTTCGCGCGCTTCACGCGCTTCGCCTCATCACAGAACTCTTGTGTCCGCTGGAACGTGCGCCGCATGGCCTTCCAAAACGAATTAAAGTAATGCAGTCCTGTACTGAATTGGTGGAAAGTTGGATGAAACATAACTTGGGCAATGCCTGCACGGGTCAAAAGAGCCCAACGTGGCAAGAGAATGGGAAAGTAAGCAAGGCAAGGCCGAATGAACCTGTCCAGAGTCAAAGCTAAAGTGATCCGAACGCACTTTGGTGCAGTGTCAGATTGCTTGGTCCTCCGTTTTGGCAGAGTAGAGGTGCAACACATTGAGCAGAAATCAAAAGAACCTGCCCTAAGACACTCCAGAAACTGAAAGAATCTTGCTTTGCAAGTGTTGGTACAATGGGTAAACGTACGTTTCGACGAAAATGTCTACTCTCACCCCCAGTATTGGACTCAATGTGGCAAACTCAAATGGAAAGGATGCGCCAAGAAGAGAAGAGAAACGCCAAAGCAAACACCTTCTTCAAATTCACCGGAACGCAGGGACTCCCAGGCACGAAATGTCGAACGACCAAACGAGTGGAAACGAGTCAACCACCAAGTCCAACCAGACCTCTCACGCCTCAAAAACCCACCCCCGAGCCTTTCTGCCCCGAAAGCAAGCACCCAACTCTCTATGCTTCAAACATGCAAAAGTCCAGGTTGGAGCCATTGCTACTAGGTCGGAGGCCATTGCTAGTAGGTTGGAGGCCATTGCTATTAACTAGTAGGTTGGAGGCCATTGCTAGTAGGTTGATAAGCCTTGGTGAAAACTTGAGTAGAGTCCAATTCTCGGCATCACCCAACTCTCGAAATTCATGGCCTCCTCCTCCTCGGGTTTGGGATTTTTCTCCTGAAGCCGAAGACGTGGTGGTTGACACCGTTGACAGCCCAGATCGTCCATATGGAAGCAAAGAATTGGTTCGCATGATGAGAGCATGAACCAAGAGCCAAAGCGCCTCATTCTCCTTTCCCAGAAGGTCATCCAACAGTTGCGTGACACCCAAGGAGAACTCCCTGAACTTGCACGACGTCAAAACTAGTAGCGATGGCCTCCAACCTACGAACGCGATGGCCTCCAACCTCAAATACCCATCTGAATCTATCAAAAAAATACCGAACACAAAATCGCTCTTGCCCTCTTCGCGTCGTTGTTTTCTTTACTGTCTTCGTTTCGATTCTTTCGACGAAGTGTTTTCGCCGCAAAAACGAGAGTTCATGCTGCATGGAACTGTCCCCTGATGGACTCGCTAGACTCTACCCACTTTGTGAATAACATGGAGTTGAACAATGCGCAAAGTGGGTAGGACGTAGGATAACAAACAGCGTAAGGTACGGAAGGATAGAGAGAAACTCCATACGGTTAAAGTCAGCTCAGTAGCGGAACTAAAAAGTGTTGTGTGCATGTAAACAGTTACCAGAAGTCATGAGTACCGGATGTGTTGAAGTACTCTGCACCGGAGCAAGGCAAAGGGAAGTAGAGATAGAAAGAGTAGAAGACACGGCAGGATGGGCGGAGTATAGTAGCAAAGAAGTAGTTATTCCAAAGTCCCGAGGACTTTTAGAACCGTTGAAAAGTACATTGTCAAGGGCAAGTACGACGAGAAGTAGATGTAGAGTGGAGATCTGGAAGCGTAGCGGGATAAAAGTACAAATCAAATAAGGTGCATTGAGTCTTTTCTAGAAAAAATATCCTTCCGGGTGGAAACCGAAAACGGAATCGAGGAGAAGCTAGCAAAGCAAATGAAAAGCTCAAGGCCGAGATGCTCGTCTTTTGGCGATTCGCACATGAGCGTTGCACGTTGAATTCGTTTGCTGTCACTGTTGCATCTTCATTCAAGGGGCTAGAGTCTCCTAGAAAATATGAGTCTGCAGTGTCTTTGACTGTTGAAACTACGTACGTCACATCATGTAGTAAAAGTGAAACAAAGAAAACCATTGGATCAACATGTTTTCAAGGCATTTCACTGTTGGCTTCCAACTCTTTGCTGATCCAACTCTTCATGCTGCCTTTTAAAAATGAGTCGCATCTGTGAAGTCTGTGCGGCTTCACCCCTTGACGAACCAAGGTTGGAAAGAAGGCCATGGCGGCGCAAACGACGATAAGACCAGCGGCTTCCAAGCAGCTGAGCTATGCTTAATGCTTAGCTTGCAAAGTTCTCCGAAGGTCTGAGGCTAACACTGATGTCAGGGTCCTGTCTTGTGACCACCGGCATACCATAGAGCCATTGATTGTCCCAGTACCTGAGGCCAGCCAGCTGATTCTTCACCATCCATCTGCATCCTATACTGCTCCTACTGGTGCACCCGTTTCGGACGCAAATACACATCCAGACACCACCTATATGGGATGCCCAGCGGCAGCGCGGTACGTGCAACGCGCGGGCTCGCTTCTTCGGCTTGCGCGGGCTGGCGCACTGCCCGAGAAGGCCCCCAGGCTCGATGGCTTGGACCAGCAAGGAGTACTTCCCAGCCTCGCGGCAAACGGATCCAACGGTCGCTTTTCGCGCCTTTTCATCGCGATTCGAGTCGGAACGTGGAGACAAACGAAAGGTCTGACAAAAGGAATAAGTCTGTCTCGGACTGATGTTTCTTTTCCCTGTCTTTTGCCTCCTTTCCTTCATCTTTCCTTTCCGGACCTTTCTCGCTCATAGGTCTAGGTCTTAGGTAACTTGCTACCTGGGTCTCAGAGCCTTCAAAAAACGACTTCATTACCGTACCTTGCGCAAGGTATAGCCAAAGCGGTAGAGGCCATTGTCAGTGTCGACCGAATGAATACAGCAAACAGGCCTTGGCAATGCGAAAGACATGAAGTTGCGCAGCAGTTACGAAATCTTCCTCTTCTGTCTTTTTTCTACCAGCAATGGCTTCCACCCTAATAGCAATGGCCTCCACCCTAATAGCGATGGCCTCCACCCTAATAGCGATGGCTAAAACAAGTCCATTGCAGATTTCTAAGAAAAAGGCTGGCCCAACACATCAGGAGCATAGTCTGGATGAGGCGCTGCAACTCGCACACAGACCTGGAATTACCGTCACTTCAGAGAACTTCAGGGCATTTGTACTCAGCAACTTCTAGAAGCTAAGAACACAGCTGCCACTTACAGCTTGCCAGTGCCTTTCCTCTACAGAGTTGTTTCCAAGCACAAGGCTGTGCCAGTGGAGTCAAGCTCGCAAACATCGTGCACGGACAATATAAATCGCCGCCCACCACCCTGGCCATTTGGGCAGCACTGCAGTCAGGTCTCCCTGGTGAAGCAACACTATCGCTACTTAGCGCCAGGCTGATTCATCCAGCTGGGTGACTGGATCCACTGAACGAACCCATGCAGTGTACCTAGAGGCAAGAGGCTCATAGAGCACATAGAACAACGAAGGTATGAATGGAAATGAAGCCACTTGTGCTTCCACAAGATCCTTGGCGCTTGAAAAAAATGCATGGAGCAACTCTCTGCAGGCGCACCCTACATCAGCACCTCAAACAAACTAGAACATCGAGAGAATCTGAGGAAAAAAAGACACTTGAGAACGCATTTGATTGTTCAAAGTAGCAAGAAGCTAGTAGGTTGGAGGCCATCGCTAGTAGGTTGGAGCCCATTGCTAGTAGGTTGGAGGCCATCGCTAGTAGGTTGGAGGCCATCGCTAGTAGGTTGGAGGCCACTACTTTTAGGTTGGAGGCCATCGCTGGTAGGTTGGAGGCCATCTTTTTTTGGGTTGGAGGCCATCGCTAGTAGGTTGGAGGCCATTGCTTTTAGGTTGAAGGCCATCACTGGTAGGTTGGAGGCCATTGCTTTTAGGTTGGAGGCCATCGCTCTTAGGTTGGAGGTGATCGCTAGTAGGTTGGAGGCTATTGCTACTAGTAGCAAAAAGCCAGTCGAAATGGAAGAAAAAGCTGAGATCCCAAGCTCAGCGACACTGGAATGGCTTCAGGTCGTGAATCACTTGCAGCCATGAGGTCTGAGATCCTGGTCAGCAAAACGAGCCTACAAAGAGGCTGAAAAGCCTATATGCCATATATGCATCTTCTTCTTCTCTGTTACTTTGTTGTTCTTTCGATCTTTCAATCGTCTTTAGATCTTTAGACATTTCGGACGTCCTTTCTTTCTGTCCTTGTTTAATCAAAAGAGCGCGAGACATCACAAGGACCTCACGCTCTTTTCTGACCCTCTCTCTCTCTGGGAATCGGCCTCACCGAAGAGGATGAGTAGCCGCTGAGACCTGAATTCACGAGAGACCTGCTGCGCAGGTCTCTGAAAAGATTGATCCATCATGATCCTGATGTCTAGGGCCACAACCAACCCGATTTTCAGCATATACTCGGAAGGTGTACCTGGGTGGCTCCATGATCCAAAAGCTTCTTCAGCAAAACAAAAACCAAGTATGTTCTGTTTAGGCTGTTCATTCACTTGCCGATACGAAACAAAGCTTCTGTGAGTCTGGCATCAAAGACGCATGTAGTCCGGTCGCCGTAAACGTCAGCTGTGAAGGCCGATTCGTGCCTCCAACAGGAAAGCTCACGTGACTAAACGTGACGACTATCAACGAAATACCAAGTTGGAACGACTGAGCTTGAGGCCATCATAGATTCGCTCCCAGCTACCGTCGCCGTTTGCCTAGTGACTGTGGACACATGCAAAGCCTGGAGCAGTCAGTTTGCTACGAACGTAGTAAGGCACCTTCTTACGAACGTAGCTTCTTGTTACTGGTCATGCCAGGAGCGCACCGGACTCGTCGCGGTGCCCGACATGCTCTTCTCCGGCCTCCATGTCCACGTGATAACCTAAGATTGGCGAGCCCCCATTGGCAGGCACCGGCCAAATCAGTTGGATGTTGTCTGCACCCACCTGGCGAACTACAGCGAAGCTGTTCACCTGATGTTGTCGCTTCTGCACCCCTCGACTGCTTGCAAACATGCATAAAATTGAACGTCCCGGCCTTCTCCAACGCCGGAGTCAGCCCTTGCCATTCTGGAACACCCGCGGTGATCTAAGAAATGTTTCGGATGAATGGGAACTTAAGCAGCTCCCAGAATGCTACGAACGGAACAAGGACGCTACGATCGGGGCTCCTGCCTTACTACTAGTAACAAGGTTCGCTACTAGTAGCAAAGGGCATCGGGAATCGCTACTAGGAGCGATCGGACGCTATTAGTGTTGCTCAAGCTGTTGGCTCAAGAGCTCTGAGGATCTCTGAGAAGCAAACAAAGTTGACGATCTCACTTCGTCCACCGGCAAGCCCAGTAGCCTGAGGCGCACATCTGATTCCAAAATCAGATCCTCATCTCTTATCTGTTGCCCATCTCAGATGCTCATCTCAAATGTTCACTTGAAATCCAATGCTTTGAGATTCCGCATGTCGCTTCAGCCAGAAAAATTGCCAAGAGGCATCAATCCCACGGGCTTGGAACTGGTAGTTTCTGTCGACTAACAGGCCTCGGTTGGGACAAAGATTTACCATTGCTACTAGTCGCTTCTTGTTACTAGTAGTGTGGCTAGGAGCTACTAGTAGCTTCTTGCTACTAGTAGTATGACCAGG